GGAAACTTTTTCCCGTCCGGAAAATTGGCCATTCCAATTCCCCCATTTTCCGAGTCGGGAACATCAGACCTGATACTGTCGACTCTGGCGGCACCACTGGGTATACAGTAATAGTATTGAGAATAGTGTTGCTTTCATTTTAGGTGGGAGAAGGCGCTTATTAAACAACCATTAAATTAAACATTTGGTATAATTTAGCATAATTTCCCATCAGCCCTTGGCATAATCACTGAGATTCAATATTTCAAACTAGATTTGTTCAACGGCATAATTCATACTAATTTAGCTTGGTACAATCAGACAAGAAAAGGCATGGTTATGTGCTGCAATATCACAAAGAATGCTGGTTTGTGCACCCCTGTAACACAAATGTTTCTTGAATAGTGTTTTATAAAATAAACTATAGTGATGCTTTAATACGTGATAGGACTACATTACGGAAAAATGCATATTTAAAAAGGACTGTAAAGCAAAGAACTCTAAAATAGCCTTAAATTTGAGGTAGAGTATGTTTAACAGTAAGACATAAGCAGAACGATATGTGAAGGGGTATGCTAGTAAATGAGACCCTGGGGAAGTAATGTCCCTACCGTATGATGTTTGTTGGTGTTTTTAATTAAAGAAATTATGGTTTGTATATGAACTCAGTGTATTTTGTAAGACCGCAGAAGTTGATTAATTTAAGCCATTGTTACTAATTGGCAACAAGGAATAGAGACCGTGGAAAGTTAGGCCAATAGAGACAAGTTGGAACTGGGACGTGACAAATTAAAGACCAGTTGGAACTGGGACCATTGAAAACCAATTGGAATTGGGGCCAGTTGAAGGACCACTTGAATTGTCAAAAAACACACAACACCCACAATTTTTTTTTATAGAATACACAGGTTTTCTATAGAAAATCGTTCAATTTATATACAATTTAATGTATTTTTTTTTTTTTTTTTTTTTAAATAAAATGTTTAGATTTCTATAGGGGTTTTAGTTTATAGATTTATAAATGGTTTCTATAAAATTGTTTATAGATTTTCTATAGATTTTAAAGGGTTTTTTAAATTAAATTTTCATAGACTTTCTATAGAGAATAGAATTTTCATAATTTTTAATACTTTTTATAGAGTTTTAATAGTTTTTAATAGAGTTTTTTTTAGTGTTTTTATATATTTTTAATATATTTTGTATAGAGTTTTAATAGACTTTTTATAGTGGGCTTCTGTAAGGTTTCTATAGAATTTTATATAGATTTTCTAAACAATATATTAGAGACATTCTATAGTGTTTTTTTAATAGAATTCTATAGACTTTTTTGTATGGGTAGGCCTACATATATATTTTTCTCTCCGACAAACATTGTTTTTATCAAAGAGCCCAAAACACCCCCCCCCCACTTCCGTCTCCACTGATGCCACCCCTGTAACAGAAGCAAAAGAGGACAGGGCTACGAGAGCTGTCCAGAACCCTTTGAAGGTCCAGGTGAAGGGAAAGATTCCCTGGAAACTGTTACAATTTTAGATAGGAAACTAGGCCTAAATTAATTTTTAAAGTCTTAATTTTTTTTTCTAATTTTCCTTCTAATAATATAACTATGGTATAATTCCTATAAGATTCTAATAATAAACCTAAAGTTTCCTATAAGATTTATAATGATACCTATAGGATTCCTATAAGATTATTCTTTTTTGATTCTAATAATATACTATAAGATTCTAATAATATACCTAGTGGATTTTTATAAGATTTCAATAATATACCTATAGGATTCTTATAAGATTCTAATAATCAACCAATAGGATTCCTATAAGATTTTATTAATACATCTATAGGATTCCTATAAGATTTTAATAATAAAACTTTAGGATTCCTATAAGTGTCTAATAATATACCTATAGGATTACTATAAGATTTTAATAATAAACCTATAGCATTCCTATGAAATTTTAATAATAAACCTTTTCTAAGCGCCTTGTATCCTTTGGCAAAAGGCGCTATATAAATTTCTATATTATTATTATTATTACTATAGGATTCATATGATTTTAATAATAAACCTATAGGATTCCTATAAGATTCTAATGATATACCAATAGGATTCCTATAAGATTCTAATAATAAAACTATAGGGTTCCTATAAGATTCTAATGATATACCAATAGGATTCCTATAAAGATTCTAATGATATACATACCAATAGAATTCCTTTGACGGTCCAGGTGAAGGGAAAGATTCCCTGGAAACTGTTACAATTAATTAGGATTCCTATAAGATTTTAATAATAAACGAATAGGATTCCTAAAAGATTCTAATAATAAACCTATAAGAATCCTATACGATTCTAATAATAAGCCTACAGGATTCCCATAGGATTATCATAATATACCTATAACACTCGTATAAGATTCAATTAATAAA